AAGAAAGAAAGAAAGAAAGAAAGAAAGAAAGAAAGAAAGAAGCCAGTCCCTCTCCCTGCCCTCAGCTCAGCAAGCTTCAAGAATATGAGGTAAGCAGCAATGCTAGTAGCCCTTTTCTCATTTCTGCTAAAGGGTGCCAAGGGGGCATCTTTTGTGGGCAGGAGGACACTTTGGGGATGTGCAGATTAAAGGCCACCCAGAGACCAAGGAAGACCTCCTGGCACTGTCTGCCTTGTTCTCTGGGTGCCATCCCTGCCGTGCAGGAAGACACGATCACAGAAGCACAGAATTGGAAGGGACCCCCAAGGGCCATCCAGTCCAACCCCCTTCTGCCATGCAGGAAGACACGATCATAGAAGTACAGAATTGGAAGGGACCCCCCAAGGGCCATCCAGTCCAACCCCCTTCTGCCGTGCAGGAGGAGAGGGGATTTAGGGGGGAAATGCACTTTCCTCCTCCCTTGCATTTCTTGTTGTGATGGCAACCATTGAGAGCCAGTGGGGCATAGTGCATTGGACTAGGATGCTGGAAACCAGGGTTTGGATTCATGCTCAGCCGTGGAAAACCCAACTGGGTGACCTTGGACAAGTCACACTCTTTCAGCCTCAGAGAAAGGCAAGGGCAAGCCTTCGAATCATATAGAGTTGGAAGAGACCAACTCAGAAATCGGAGAGAGGGAGACTTGGTTAACATCACCCAATGGGTTTCCATGGTTGAGTGGTGATTCGAACCCTGGTCTGCCAACCCCAGAGCTGCCATAAGTCAGAAACAACTTGAAGGCGCACAGCCTGGCAGAGGGCTGGACTTTATGTCCCCCAACTCTATGATTCTACAATAATAACAACAAATATATATTTAACAACAATGCAACTAATTGTATATTAACTTTAACACATGTATTCCATGTCTCCTGTGATGGGCCAGTGGAGAACTAATGGCAAAGGTCTTCTGCCTATGATGCTCAATGTAGAACAACATTTGGAGAAAAAACATAGAATCACAGAGCTGGAAGAGGCACATCCAGTCCAACCCCCTTCTGCCATGCAGAAAGACACAATCATAGAAGCACAGAATTGGAAGGGGCCCCCAAGGGCCATCCAGTCTAACCCCTTTCTGCCATGCAGGAAGACA